AGATTTCAGAAATGTAACCCATCCTTTTAACATTATACTAAATGAAATAAAAATAAATTATTCAATTAGAGATTCAATTACTAAAAAGGATTTATAATATAAGCCCTTTATCCTAATAATGTATACTAAACAATATTTTTATCTTGAGAATTCAAAATATCATATCATTTTATTAATCCTTGCAAATCCTCCATTTACCTTGTTATTCTTATCTGATAATGATAAATACGAAATTAAAATAGTCTCGAGATTAGAAATTATTAATTTGTTGAGATATTGTTGCCTTAAATATATTGAAAATAAAATTCTCTAAAAATTCAACAACCAATATCTACAAAATCAAAAAATCTATTTCTCTTAATTGACTAGCTTATTATAATTATAATTATTATATGAATTATAATTGTATTCTGCTGGAAAACATATTAATATTTTGGGTAATGACAGATGAATTTTTATTTTTAATAAAGTTAATATTTTATAAGGAAATTATTATACTACGTTTAGTCTAATAATTTAACTAGAAATAATATTTATACACCTGTAGAAAATTATTTAGATTTTGGGGATGGCATATAACTTTTATTAATTTTGTAATTATAATCGTTAGGTATTGTGAATGAGTTTGAAATTTTGGTAGTAGATTTTGAATTTAACTGTTAAATGAGTTATAGCTATTTCAATAATTTATGAGATTATCTTTTACCATGACTGAGGATTCATTACCAGCAAGTTACATATATAAACATCAATAAATCAAATAAATAAAATTAATATTTTAAAAGATGAATTCTAAAATAAAAAATAATCAAGCTCTCTAAACGTCAGTAACATGGAAATACTCCAAAAAATGGGATAAAGAGAAATATCAAATCGTGAAAGAGAAAATTCAAATTACAATAAAAAATAATAATAAAATTATTTATTCTTCATCTAATGGAGAAATTTTAAGAATGTAAACTTACTTTCTAACTTTAATAGAGAAAAGGAGAAGCAAAATTTGAGCTATCCTTTTATATTAATTAATAAGGACTAGATCAAAAAACTATAATGGATTGGAGTATAGAGATAATACAATAGAGAATCTGTTTAGTGGAGTGCTACTTGGTGTGGAGAAGTTTTAAGTGGAGTTGGTGGATACATTAATTAAGGCTTAAAGTAAGGAGTATGGAAGGAGTTAATTTAGCATTATTCATGGTAAATTATGCATTCATTTTATTATTATAGTCAAGCTAAAGTATATGAAATTGGAGAATACTTTAATGATAAAAAAAAGGGAATATGGGAATTTATATATAACAATAAAAAGATGTACTGATTTTTATTACATTGTTTAGTGGTAGCGGATTATACAATGAAAAAAGTCAGAAGCATGGTAAATGGAAAGAGTTGAGCGAGGAATTTTGGGATTATTCTTAAGTTATTTTTTAAGGTGAATACTTAAATGGCAGAAAGATTGGTAGATGGGATATTTTGTAAGAAGAGTTTGAATTAATGTAAAATATAGAAAATAGCCTATAATATCAGTGGTGGAGGATCATATGATGAAATGGGTAATTGCAATAAAATTGGTCTTTGGATTGAGTTGAGCGATGGATTTTGGAATAAATCATAAGTTCTTTATCGCGGTCAGTATAAGAATGGCAAAAGAGTTGGAAGATGGGATATTGTGTATAGATATGATGATAAAGAAAATCTTTATTTTAATAAATTGATGTAAAATTATAGGTTTAGTTTATTCTTAGTGGTGGTGGATTTTATGCTGAAAGTAGTGGTTTGAAAGTAGGATAATGGATTGAGTTGAGTGATGGATTTTGGTTTGATTAATAAGTCACCCTTAAAGGGGAATATCAAAATGGGAAAAAAGTTGGTAGATGGAATATTAATTATAATAATCGAAGTTCAAATAAAAATAACTAGATGTAATAAATCAAATTGCAATAATATTATAGTGGCGGAGGCTTTTATGATGAAAAAGGGGATGGTAGTAAAATTGGAAAATGGATTGAATTGGATAATGAGTTTTGGTTAGGAGCTGAAATAACTTATTAAGGTGAATATAAAAATGGAATAAAAATTGGTTTATGGGATATTTTATATAAGAATAGATAGATGTAAATTGAATAAATCGAAATTTTTAGTGGTGGTGGATTTTATGATTCAGGTTGTTAGGAAATTAAGGTAGGGAAATGGATAGAATTGTATGACGGATTCTGCGATGATTTACAAGTCATTTATAATGGTGTTTATTAAATCGGAAAAAAAATTGGTAGATGGGATATTTTGTATAGAAAATTAAATAAATTTGAAATAATGTATAATATTAAATGAATCATATTTATAGTGCTGGTGGATCATATCATTAATAAGGCAATGAAGTAAAGGTCGGAAAATGGACTGAGCTTGGAAGTGGTTTTAAAACGCATTCTTAAATTACTTCTATTGGTTAATATAAAAACAGCAAAAAGGTTGGCAGATGGGATATTTATTGGAATTGGTTTGGAAACAATCTGATGTATATTAAAGTAGAGTAAATGTTTAGTGGTGGCGGATCATACGATGAACTGGGATCAGGGATGAAAATTGGTAGATGGATTGATATAGGTGACTAATATAGGGATTACTCATAAATAACTTATAGTGGAGACTACAAAAATGGTTCAAAAATTGGAAAATGGGATATTTTTTTGTAGAGAATTAAATAAGAATTAATGTAAACATAAATAGAATAAGATTTTTAGTGGAGGTGGATAATATTCTTCTGGAGAAGATGGTATAAAAAATGGAAGGTGGACTGAAGTACATTTTGAATTTAATTTGGATTTGTAACTCACTTATAGTGGGGAATACAAAAATAGTAAAAAAATTGGTAGATGGGATACGTATTATCGAGATAGGAGTTAGGGGAAATTTGAAAAAATGTAAATATTTGAAATTATAAAATATTTAGAGGTGGTGGGCAGTATTCAGAAATAGGGGATGGATTTAAGATTGGGAAATGGATTGAGTTGAGTGATGAATTTTAATCATTTAAGTAAATCTCTTATGTTGGTGAATATAATAATAATAAAAAAGTGGGTAGATGGGATGTTTGGTATTAGGATTATGAAACAAAAATAAATGAATAGATGTATAAGATTTAAATAAAACAAGTGGGGGCGGATTCTATGATGAAAAAGGTAATGGGGTCAAAATTGGGAATTGGATTGAGTTATGTGAAGGATTTAAGAAATGTAAAAAGTTTTCTAAAGAAATCACCTATAATGGTGAATATAAAAATGATAGAAAATTTGGCAAATGGAATATTATGTATAGAGAGTGGGATAAAGCAAATTTTAATTTGATGTAACTTTATAATAAGTACTCAAATTTAGTGGATATGGGTATTATGATGAAAAAGGTGATGGAATGAAGGTTGGTTAGTGGACGGAGTTTAGTTATTGGTTTTATATTGATAAATCAATCACTTACATTGGAGAATACAACTATGGTAAAAAGGTAGGTATATGGTTTGAGTTGGACATAAAAAAGAATGAGAAACTTAAGGTGATGAGATATGATGAAGAATGAGAAGTTAATGATAAACTAACGTATTAAATTCCATTTTTATTTTTTAAGTGATTATCTAAAATTCTTATTGTTTTACAATCTGAGTAGCTTTTATAAATTTATTTAAGATCTTCCTTGTTTATTTGAATCTACATCACTTGCTCTCTCTATTATTAGGGTTCATTTAAAATGAAAAATTTCCAACTAGTTCCTTCCTATCAGTATACAATGGATTCTAGCTTGAAGAATACGCTAACGTATGAGTGTTTTATTTATAATCTTAAGTTGCTGATCTTGGCTTTACTTCTACAATAATTATCCAGCCTCATTAGCAGTTTTTTCAATAATAAAATTTTTAATTTCTTGTTTAATGTGAGATTAACTTTTGCTATAATTATATAATGAGAGAGCTAAAATTATTAACAAATTAAGGCAGCCATGTTGAAAAAACAGCATTTTTCAAAAGAGAAGCAGGACGAGCCAAATTTTAATTAATATCATGTAATAAATATCAAAATACATCATTGCTAATAATTGAATGATTCAAGCTTAAATAATCAAGTTATTAAAAAATGGTTAATAAATTAGAAAATTATTGAAACTTTCATTTGCAAATTTTGATAATTAAAACAGCTTCCTTTTCACATGTGATGAGGGCGTGTGGAATTTTAATTACTACTATTTCATTTCTTTTAACAATTATGAGTTAATTCATTAGCCTGTTGATAATTTTCAATCCGATTCTGTAATTAATTTAGGTAAGGAAAAAATAATACTTACAATAATCATATATCTTTTAAATTTCATTTTGTATCTCTATTAAAAAATGTGGAGGTAGAACTGATCAATTTGTGTAGATAATCCTTATAAAGATGGCCAGGAGTAATTAAAGATTAATACCAACAATAATGACTTTCAAATTTTTGATCAATAAATGCGAATTTGTATATGAGTATAGATATGCTCCCTTACAAGATGAATGAACTTTGGTTGAAAACATTTAACAATCTATTTTTGTTAAATAAAAACATTAAGTTGTATATATAATTTGCAATTATAAATAATCAAGAATTAATAATAATTTAACCTTTTATGTTCTATTTAATTATTATGTTATTTTATATAATTCTACATCTAATAATTTTTCACTTTAAGTTAAATGCCATTTAGAGAATCACAAAACCTATTTTTCACTTTTAAATGTTTTCGTACTTGATTATCTTATTTTTGATGTGACAACGCGTTTAAGTTATATGCAAGCATAGCTGATTAAAATGATAAGCTTATTGTTGACTATTTTTATTTTATAATTTGTGCACATAGAACCAAATATTCTCTTCAAATCAAACCTGGCATATGTTTACAAATCAGTTAACCTAGATAATCATAAAGAAAATTATTTTTCTCCAGTAGATTTCTCAAAATAAGCAGATTCTACTTTTTAAATGAGGCGATGTATTGGATTCTAGGTATTTTTAATTTGTAAAAATTAATAATTGTGATTCATGTGGGAAGGAATGTTTGATCGACAGATGTGTTCAATCAATTATAATGAGAATGGATATATGAATACTTTTCTAATTTTCAGAAGATTTTTATTATATTGATTGTTATACCAAGCTTTATTGATTAATAAGACTTTTCTATTTATAAGTTTAATTAGTTCAAAATTTTAAATACACAATATAATGTTACTAAGATATTGTGCCGATTATGATGTTTGAAAGGCTGAATATAAATAGAAATGAGTCGAGATATTATTAAACTAATGTTCACTTTAAATAGAAATTTATTCATCAAGATATTATTCTATCTAAATACTTAATAAAGTACAAAAAAAAAAATCAAACATAAATTTGGCTTAAATTCTAATTAAAGTATAAAAATCCCAGAAGATGCTAAAACAGCTAAAATGAGAACCGACCTGTTATGTCAAATATGGGATTAGATGTTTAAAAATTATTGACTTCCGTTCTTCATATTACAAAGTTTTGAGAGACGTTCACGCAGAAATATGAGCTTAAAGAATAGCCTTGAGCACTACGACCATATTCATCAATATTTAGCAATGCATAATTGAAGAGTACTTATAAAAATGACTCATCCAAAAGTTGATGGTAAGAGGAAATATAATGAAAAGGAGAATATTTTTGAGCAATTTAATCATTCAGGAGATAGGTGATCCTCATATTAAAGTAATATATGTTTGAGAATCTTCTCTCATAATGCAACTTTAAGGAATAGCTCAACAATTAATTATAGAGATTAGAAATTGGCTTACTGAAATCTTTAGTGAGGGAAGCCAAATTTGAGTACAAATAGCTTCTTGTTATCTTCATTAAGCATTTCTCCATGAACTAATATAATATTTTAGTTGAATTCGGCCAATTTATTATCTATTCTATTACCTAATATCGAGTTGTGTAATTTTCAATAGGATGAAAAATATTCTAAGGCATTCTATGATTTCATTAATTTTAGCTCCCAATCTAATGTTGAGCTTTGCCTCTAAAATATTAATTCTATAGGTACCCCTTAAAGATTTTTTTATTTATATATCTGTATATAATTTTAGAAATTAAAATTCATTTTTTGATTAGAATTTTTAAGATTTACTCAAGTACCGCAAGAACTTTATCTAAATAATTGATCTTTAAAATTAGTCTATATTTTACAAAAGCCTTCTACTAGAAATTACCTCAAAAAGTATCAGAGTAAAATGAAATTCTGCAATCAATTTATTAATTTAATTAATTATTTCTATATAAAGGTTATCTAATGAATAGAGAACCTAAATAAGAGTGCAAAACTTATATGTAGATTGAAAATAAATCACTTATGAATAGACAATACATATTTAGTTATAAGAATTAAATTAAATTGATTTTCTTCTTTTTCTCCTTAATTAATTTTGGAAGAATGGCTTGTTACCACAAATTGGCTTTTCATCTATGGGCTAGACTTCCTAGAGTCTTACCTCGATCATCATCAGATTTCCGTTATTCATAGGATCAACTCAGAAATGGCTAAGATTTTCCCAACATTTGCTCTTAGATTTGAAATTTTAGTTATTGAGGTTGAAAATTATGCAGAGATTTAAGACTGAAAAAATAAAAAGAATTTTAATTATAGTAGAATAATTTTGACTTAACACTCTTGAAAATTTATCTTAAACTTTTTAATATTTATATGTGAAACTAACTAACAATTATAATAAATCCAATAAACTCTGATTTAGTAGGAGAAACCTAAGCAATTTATTGTTCAATAGAGGTTAAAGGAGTAATAGAAGAAAAGGAATTAGAAGTATTAGGGAAGGCAAAATGAGTAATAGATGTAAAGAATTTAGAAGTAGTATAAGAGTCAATAGAAGTAAAAGGAATGGATTTAGAAGTAGTAAGAGAGGCAAAGGAATGGATTTAGAGCAGATACAGGCTTGAATCTATGATGTGCACAGGAATGAATGAATAGGATTTTGAATTCCTCTAATAAAGGAAGCTTTAAAAGAATGAATCAAATGAGAGAATAATAAAAATAAATATAAATTAATAAAAATAGATCTTTTTATTAATCATGTTCATTAAATATTATTCTTACAATGCATCATTAATCCTAAATTTAAGAAGAATGAGATTTTGTTTCCTAATAACTTCAATTTATTATGAATTATAATATTTATATTTTAAATGAATTATTTATTTTTATCTTTATATTAAGATACAGTAAAAAAAAGATATTAAATTTACTTCCTTCATAATTTTATAAGGAATTAGATATATGTTCTTTCTAATTATTCTTTTTTCACTTAAGGAATAGATCAAAGTCTTTTTCTTCTCTTTACTGAAAATAACATTTATTAAGAATTTTGGACAGAATCACTACTTCTGTCACATTATAACTCCACATTTTCAATAAACCTCATCACTTAATTAATTGGATTATTGTATGCCTTTATAATTCATGCTCTTGTATTCCCATTATGAGTTTGTTTGTTGTTTGAGATTTGATATATATTTATCTCCCTAATACAATAAATAGCTGGATGAATTAGGATAATATTGTTCCTCATTTAGATTTATGTCAAATATTATTTAAATAAATAATGCAATCTTTCACTTTAATCTTTAAATTCATATGTTAAATTAAACAGACTTAAAGAACAAACTTTAGAAAATTCTTCACAAAATTTTGAGGCCCCATTTTTAGGAGCTTTGATATATTGTTTTAATTAGCCTAACAAATTAATTATAAGTAATTTCTATTTTTACTTATCTTAAATCTGAAGAAAAATGTTATTGGAACTCTTATTAAAATAACTCTTTAGTAATAACAATAGTGCTAGNCTCGATCATCATCAGATTTCCGTTATTCATAGGATCAACTCAGAAATGGCTAAGATTTTCCCAACATTTGCTCTTAGATTTGAAATTTTAGTTATTGAGGTTGAAAATTATGCAGAGATTTAAGACTGAAAAAATAAAAAGAATTTTAATTATAGTAGAATAATTTTGACTTAACACTCTTGAAAATTTATCTTAAACTTTTTAATATTTATATGTGAAACTAACTAACAATTATAATAAATCCAATAAACTCTGATTTAGTAGGAGAAACCTAAGCAATTTATTGTTCAATAGAGGTTAAAGGAGTAATAGAAGAAAAGGAATTAGAAGTATTAGGGAAGGCAAAATGAGTAATAGATGTAAAGAATTTAGAAGTAGTATAAGAGTCAATAGAAGTAAAAGGAATGGATTTAGAAGTAGTAAGAGAGGCAAAGGAATGGATTTAGAGCAGATACAGGCTTGAATCTATGATGTGCACAGGAATGAATGAATAGGATTTTGAATTCCTCTAATAAAGGAAGCTTTAAAAGAATGAATCAAATGAGAGAATAATAAAAATAAATATAAATTAATAAAAATAGATCTTTTTATTAATCATGTTCATTAAATATTATTCTTACAATGCATCATTAATCCTAAATTTAAGAAGAATGAGATTTTGTTTCCTAATAACTTCAAT